CCCCAGGGAACCCTGATGAATATATTAAGGCTTACAAATGGGTCCTAAGAAACTTTCTGAGGCTGCCAGGAGGCTGAAAATCCTACCAAGGGCTTGACTACAAGGGAGTATTTACCTCATAATTATACCACTACAGCTATGCAAGTATAACTCTCCATAGAGACATTCTTATTCCAGAACAAGAACATCCACACAGGGAGCTGTACTGGTATAGCTATAGTGGTATAAATACATCAGTATAATTTTGCCACTCAGTTTTCCCATGTAGAAAGAGCCCTAAAGCTCATGGAGGGGGGGCACCAGGGAGTAGATCACAGGGAGCCAGGAGGAAGTCTTCACCTCCCAGGAACCCCCTACACAGTGGGCCAAGAGCACTAGGACACAGGCCAGTTTTTCCCCAGGTCTGCTGAACCCCAAGCCTCCTGACAGTATTTTCCATCTACCCTTCTTCCTATGCCTCTACCATCAGCTATTAGAAGCTGAAAGAAAGCTTCTAGGTTCTATACACCTTCTAGGTTCTATAGAAGAAGATGCTAAGGGCCTACAGAGGTATAGAGAAGAGGGACTCCCTTTTTCAGGACCTTAAATGATCTGCAGCATCAGTCTCCTCAACAGGAGAGTGGACAGGTACTGCAATTAACAGGGAACTTTGTTGCCAGTTGATCAAGTGCATACTGATTCCTTTCCCTGCACCCACCCCCAGACTTCTTAAGGTCTCTCAAAAAGAGATAAAGATAAAAGGGCTAGATAAAGATGCCCTTACTGCAAGCCTCCTACAGTTTGCCAGAATAATTCCTCTCCAACCAAACCTAGGAGCATTAAAAAATACTGAAGTAAATCCTTCCCCCCGCCCAAGACTGTGCAGTTAAGTCTGCAGGCACACAGTGATTTAACTGCATATCAACTTCTTTTTTTAAAAAAAAGAAGTGTTATTTAAAAAAGTTAGAAACCCAGTGAATTCAAGGTTAAGGTTGCATTGTTTAAACAAGGCACATAAACTGCCTGAATCATGCCATAAGACAATTAAAAACTTTCTATTTTATTCATCCTTAGTAGTTTCATTTACATGGAGATACCCTAAATCTTAACTGGATAATGACAGTCTCACAGTGACGTCAATGTACAAGGATTCAGCAAATACTATAGGTGAACATATGTAAGTTCAGACCAATGTGAGAACTGCAAAAATGCTTACATGTGGGACAGACAAAAGGGCATATTGTTAGTTATATATAGTCTCTACACTACATGTTATGATTTTATTGTATGAGTCACTCTTGATTTCCAATATTTCGGTTTACTATCATTTGATCTGTTCTTTGTTAAATAAACATATTTGCTTTCTATATAAACAAATCTAAGCACTGTGTGTTAAGCAAAGCTGTGTTCTAAGATGTAACTAGCAAGCTATAATCTGTAATAAGAAGAGGATCTGCTAATTGTGGGAGTGTCATGTGGTTAAGGGGCTTGACACTCAGGGGGATGGACAAAGAACTCAGGGGTTGGACTGTGCCTACTGCTAGCCAGCATGAGGGATCTGTGTAGGCTGCATGTGGACAGGGTGTGTGTTAGGGACCCAGGCAGGCACAGACCAGGCTTCTTCATGCTAAGAGCAGATGGTAGCGAGGTGCTCCACAGCCCTGGGAAGTGTCATAGAATCTCAATAATTGTGGCATTCTGTGACAGCATACTCCATAGACAGCACAACTTCTCCATGGACTGGAAAAGAGCGTCACAAATCTTATTAACTGTTAGACATGCACATCACCCAACACAGGTTGGTATAGTACTTCAGTTTTCTTTAGGCTAATTATGAAACTAAAACGATTGATTGCATGAGTTAAGTGATCAGTTATAAATTGAATGTCATGAATCAATCCTGACAAATACACCTTTTCTACAATAAATTTTTGTAGAACTTTCGAAACCGATCAAGCCAACTTTGACACCTGTCATAAATATAAACAATGCTCATTTTGGATTAAGTCCACAAGGAAATTTGATTTAAAAAAAAGGTTGTAAAGCTCTTTAAGCACAGCCTGACTGTCATTTTCCGGTGACATCACTGCATATTTTCCCAGCCCAATATGAAAGGTACAGAAGTTGGGATCTGTTTTGCTAAAGCACTTACACTGAAAGGGTGCACATTCCCTATCAATGAATGGGAGAGGGAAGCATTGGCTTTAGCAGTGCTACTGTATCCCAGCCCTTTCCACCCTTAGCCAGGAGTTAAAAATGAAGGATTAACTGAAAAATAAATGGCTATTTACTTACTGAAAACACCTCTAAAATAGGGGCTAGAATTGCCCTGGTCAGTTACATGAACACTCCCCAGACATCAGTGGCTACCTGTGTAAAATGCTCAAATATGACTATAGGTGAATGTTTTTTCCTAGCTGACCACTCATTCTTTTTTGCATGGATGAGTCAAGGAAACTATTCCTGAGATGATAAGTTAGCATCTTAGCTAACATTTTATTAAATACAAGTTTGCACCCAATGTAGACCATGGCCAGCCAATGCATTTTAAAGGTGTTTGCAACAAGTGTATACACATTTTAAGTCATGCTTAAAAATACACCAACCAACACATTTTCAAACCATCTGTGTGACCCTGTCTTGACTAGGAAGTGTCTTACCTCTGCCCCTTCCTGTCCCTATTCCCCTCAGTGGAGTGTGATCTTCAAAGCCTTACAAAAAAAACAAGTCATCCCCCTCAAGCCCCAAAAGGAGGACATGAATGCAAAAAGATAATCTTGCTGTGTAAGGCTGCACAGTTAAAATAAAGCCAGAAATTCAGCTTAGGTTGCTACAGCAATGTTAAGTTGGCCATATATTTTAAAGTAATGTTTAACATCCACTAAATTAAACTATACATTTAACCAGAAAAACAAAATCCACATGCGTTAACATATGCAGGAACAGGAGTACTTGTGGCACCTTAGAGACTAACACATTTATTTGAGCATAAGCTTTCATGGGCTACATCCCACTTCTTCGGATGTATAGAATGGAACATATATTGAGAAGATACACACACCATGAACAGGTGGGAATTGTCTTACTTAATTGGCTTCTCAGAGTTGGTAAGAGAAAAAAAACTTTTGAAGTGATAATCAAGATAGCCCAGTACAGACAGGTTGATAAGAAGTGTGAGTTTTTCTTCCCCTTACTTAATTGGCTTCTCAGAGTTGGTAAGACAACTCCCACCTGTTCATGCATCCGAAGAAGTGGGATGTAGCCCATGAAAGCTTATGCTCTAATAAATTTGTTAGTCTTTAAGGTGCCACAAGTACTCCTGTTCTTTTTGCGGAAACAGACTAACACAGCTGCTACTCTGAAACCTGTCAATATGCGGGAATGTTAAATTCCATTTCTTGATCTTGATTTTAACTGTGCAAACTGCTGGTAAGCAATTTCCAGATCACAAGTGTTGGTTAAGTACGAGCTTTCCTGTGGTTTTGTTTGAACTCTGTCTTTTCCCAAGTAGTACAACCTTGAATCCCGGAAGTAAAGAGCACACCAGTTTAACCAATGGAAAGGAACGTACGCTGGCTCTATCCAGTATTTGAAGTTGCACTGTCTTAGTCAGAATCATAAATATAGTTACAATGTCTGTGCTAATACTTTCCTGTTAATATTCTCTCCATTGACCCTGCCTGCTTAGATGGCTCTGGGTTTTGGACTTTTTTGGTTTTGGTTTAATACAGGGGTTGGCAACCTTTCAGAAGTGGTGTGCCAAGTCTTCATTTATTCACTCTAATTTAAGGTTTCGCGTGCCAGTAATACATTTTAACGTTTTTAGAAGGTCTCTTTCTAGAAGTCTAACTAAACTATTGTTGTATGTAAAGTAAATAAGGTTTTTAAAATGTTTAAAAAGCTTAATTTAAAATTAAAATGCAGAGCCCCCCGGACCGGTGGCCAGGACTTGGGCAGTGTGAGTGCCACTGAAAATCAGCTCACGTGCCGCCTTTGGCATGCATGCCATAGGTTGCCTACCCCTGGTTTAATATATACTTTATTCCCTAGGAACTAAGGTTACTATTTGCGTAATAAAAATTCTACCAAGAAGTGTATGGTTATTAAACGCAATATTTCCAAAACTCACCGCTGAAGAGATTGCATTCGTCTCTCCTCTCGATCTCTGGCAAGCCTTTCTTCCTCTTCATCTGGTATACTAGAAAGATTGGGTGGCAGGGAGAGGGGGAGAGAAATAGAGAGTTTTTCTGTGCTTGAAAAAAAGCCTGTTGGTCATTTTTCAGAAAATGCTTTAATCGGCCCTGATTTACAGTCTTTACAGTTGTACTTGACTCCGTTACGTGGTTTAATTCACAACCAACAAATTGGTAGCATTTTCCCTTTACACTAGAAGTATTTTTGGTTTTGCAGTACTTGCACACTTTACCAACTAAATCTGTGTATACCATATACGAACTACAAAACATTTGAAGCCAATGCCAGTCAAAGGATATTTTATTTTTCTTTTAGTTATTCACCACTGACTTAATTTATCCCAACTCCTTTGAACATAAAAAATTAATAAATGTATGCTTTTGTCACATTTCTCCACATATTAATTATCTCCCAAAACTGAATGCATGATCTGGAGAGGTGTTAATCAGAAATACTGATAAGTCTCAACATGTGTTGGTTGAGCTCTTTGAGCTGTGGTCCAAGTGTAGTACCATATATGTGCACTTACATCAGCACTTAAGTGGCGCAACAGTGACATCCAGTGGCTAGAACAAGATAATCACAGCAAGTCACAACATATATGTGCCATACATTCGTATGATACATACCTATGTTGCATCTATGATGTGCCATACATAGATCAGAAGGGGCAGTCTGAATTCAGCAGTTCATTAAAGGACACAATCAACTGTCAAGTCACATTTCCATATAGTTGTTTTAAAAACTTACTATTGTTACACGTATCATCCAAGAATACTAAAAGTGGAAATGTTTTAAAAGGTGTATGTTTTGGGTACATCTTACACAGCCAAAATAACCCCCCACAGCAGCAAGTCTCAGAGCATGGGTCAACTGACTTGGGCTCACAGGTCTTGCGCTACAGCTTGGGCTCTAAGCCTGAACGTCTGCACAGCTATTCTTAGCAATGTAGCACAAGCCCAAGTCAGTTGACCAAGGCTCCGAGACTTGCTGCCTCAGCTTTTTTTTTTATTTGCGCACCATGTAGGTGGATCCTTTTCCATGCAGTCAATTTCTATTTCCCCTATTTATGTGGGTCTCTCTCATAGAAAGAGGGGAGAGAAAAAAACAAAACAAGTATTTTTTTTTAATTGCAGAAGATTAAATTGGAGATAATCAATAAATTGACCTTTTGTGAACCTGACCAGATTTCAGCATCTGTTTAAATATCCTCTGTCTTTGGAGTAACTTCAGAATGAACCTACTGTGGCTGAAATATGTGATACAACAGAAGCCTCTAAATCTTGCACAGCCTTTTGTAAAACTGGTTTATCAGAGAGGCTAGGAGGCACTACATAATAGTCCCAACTAATGTTTCTGTTCCAAAATATACAGACTCCCAAACAGCTATGACATCCCTCTCTAGAACTTGGAATGTACAGTATTTATTATGGGATAGCATTGGAATTCAAAAGTATTTTCCTGCTTCAAACCACTCTCAAGGGAAGTTCTCAATTAAGCTTATCATAGAAGTCAACTAAACTAGAAGTAACCATTATACTTTAGTATTTCAGCGGACTGACAAGTTCAGGAAGAAACAATATATTGGCATATGCCATTAATTTCATGAACCTTTAGCTCTGAAGAACATGGAAGCAGCAAAACGTCTGGTGCAAGATGCTAACAATGCTAGCCAACCGAAAAGATACTAGGAGAAGGCTTGGGAGTCTTGGAACCTGTGGCGTGAATAGAGACAGAAGAGCCATTGGCACTAACGGTGCAGGGATTAATGTTCCTGAGTGCTCATTGGCTGAAGTTGATGGTGGTTGCTTCTCTCTCTTCTGGGGCAGTCAAGCTCCATAATACGAGATGTCTATGCTGCAGCCAAAAGTAAGGTTCCCAGGCTGGGTAGACAGACTTGTGCTCTCAGGGCTTGCATTACCACA